CAAGAGGTAGGGGGCACGCGGGGTACAGGCGCGGCGGCCGGCGGAGTAGACACTAGTTGCCCGGAGTGTGTCCGGGCGGCGTGGCGAGGGCCACTGTGCGCGACGGCAGGGGGACGGAGGAGGACGCTCTGGGATCGGGCATCCGCGGGTGTCCCCGACACCCTTCTTGCGTCCCTCGTTCCCCGCACTGGGGTGGGTGTGTGTCGGTCAGGGTCGCAGCTGGGGTACGAATGAGGCAGCAGTGAGTTGAGACGGGATTCGAACCCAGGGCTCTCGTCCCGGGCCGAACTGGGGAGGTGCTTCTTGGAAAAACTGACGCTGATCTCTCCGTGGGGCCCAGCTAGGGATTCACAAACAAACATTTACTGCACGCGGCTGGCGAGCGTGTGTCAGCGCCAATGGCTGGGTTTAACCTGGAACAAAGCCTGGCCTGACTTGGAGTCTCAGTTTCCCCTTCTGAAAACCAGAGACGGAGCGAGGGCTATGGGCTCTACCGGACCTCGATTCAAATGCCAGCTCGGCCACTGCCAGGCTGTGTGACCTCAACCCGTTCCTTTATCTCTCTGCGCTTGGGTGTCTCATGGGTGCTGGGCTGGGACATTTCCCAAAGGGGCGCGACAGGCAGAGGCTGGGTGGTGGAACCTTGAATGTCAAGTCCAGGGGTTTAGGCTCGTCTCCCAGACCCTGGAGAGCCACAGAGGGCTTATGAGCACCTCAGGGATTGGGTGCAGGAAACTGGCCTCAGGCCCCTGTTTTCTGCCATATTCTCATTCTCTGTTGAGCCACATGGGTGATGATTGAACCTCAGGGTCCTGGGCTTCTCCAGGGAGGGCTGTGCAGATGGTCAGCACTCAGAGTAGAAGCTCAGAAAGTGAGCAGATGGTGCCCACTTCCCCATTGACATCTGCAATTAGGCTGTTTTCAAAAAAACCCCACCTGAGAGTAAGAGGTAGGCCGCCAAGTGTTTTTCCCAAATGTTATTGAAAGTGACAAATGATGGGAGTGGAGGTGGGGGTAAGGAACCAGGTGAGGGGCAGGGAGAGGATGTGGGACTGGTTTGTGTGTGAAGGTGGGGGTGGGCAGGAAGTTTTGCAGGAACCTGTGGGTTTCACTTTTGCTTCGGCACCTCAGTGGAGAAGACAATCCCTGGGGCTGTTGCTCTATGGCCTCAGTTTCCCCAGGCTGGGAAATGGGTACATCTGGTCTCTCCCACCTCCTGGCCTGTTGGAATTGACAAATGGTGACTTAATTATCTGGGGAGGCATGCCCTGCTCTCTGACAACGCACCAGGCCCTGCAAGCCAACAGTACTACACGTCCCCACCACCATTTATTTACCCAGCGCTGGCCCAAAGCTGAGCTCGGCGTATTGGTTTTATCAGATCTTCCCAGCACCTTGCTTGGTGTACAGACGGGGAAACTGAGGCTCAGAGGAACAGCTGGGAGCAGGCTGGATCCAAACACCAGCCCCCACGCCTTGGTTGTCGCCTGGATTAGTGGCTGACCCCACGTTCCCACACCTTGTCCTGCTCTGTGCCTTCTCCCCGGGACACTGTTCCCGTCCCTGTGAAGCTGGAGGTTTCTTCTCCCTCCCTGTGCACAGTGCTGTGGCTGAGCTGCGTCGGCAGCTGGGGTGTGTGGGCTGATGCACTTGCCGAGCAAGTAGAGCTGTTGCTGGGCGACTGTTCTGGGGGAGTTGGCGGTGGCGGGTGGGGGGTGGCTGGAGACAATGTCGTTCCCAACTTCCCTCTGTCAGGGTGGGCACTGGGGCCAGGGCACAAGGTACAGGTGGGCTTAGCCTGAGCAGGGGGCTGGTGGCCAGAGGAGCTGGGAGGGGGGAGGGAGGGAGGGAGGGAGGGAGGAAGGAAGGAAGGAAGGAAGGAAGGAAGGAAGGAAGGAAGGAAGGAAGGAAGGAAGGAAAGCAATGTGTTGGCAGAATAGAAGACAGGGCACAACTGCACAAGATCCTGACTCTAGGTTTTTATTTTGTTTTGTTTTAAATATTTTTTATTGATTTCAGAGAGGGAGAGAAAGAGAGAAACATCAATGATGAGAGAGAATCATTGATCGGCTGCCTCCTGCACACCCCACACTGGCATGTGCATCCCGGGCGTGTGCCCTGACCAGGAATCAAACCATAACCTCCTAGTTCATAGATTGATGCTCAGCCACTGAGCCACGGCGGCCCAGGGACTTTAGGGTTTTTAAGGGTCAGACTGGCATTTTTTTTTGGGGGGGGGGGTGGTGGGGGAGGAGTGTTGCCAAGAGATGGGGCAGTGGCCCTCGGGAAAAGTGCATGGAGTGGGGTGGGGGCCTGCCTTAACCCACCTGTGGGCTCCAGGGTCCTCTCCACCCTCTGCCTTATTTCCCAGAGCTCCTGGCAGTGGCCACAGCATGGGAAAGGTGTGGGGGTGGGAGTGTGAACACCAAAGCCTGCAAAGTCAGGCCAGGAGCTCCTGGCTGTGTGCAGTGACCACCAGGAGGCCGGAAGTGCTTCGTGCCACCACTGATAATAACAGTAATAGCCGGCTTAATAAAAATAATATTTGGGAAATAGGACTCCCACTGGGCCTCCAAGTAAGGGCCCTGGGGGAGTCCAGTTAAGGGCGGAGGGGAGTGGTCGCGCCCAGTTTCCTGTCCTGCCCCAAAGCCAGCTGCATGTGTGCCCCAGCCTGGGCCAACGCCTAACCCTATCCCCACCCGCCCCTACAGCTGCCGCAGCGGGAACCGTAAGAGCCTCGTGGTAGGAACACCCTCACCAACCCTTTCCAGGCCCCTGTCACCATTGTCAGTCCCAACCGGTGAGCATGGGAGCAAGCGGGTGGGTGCTGTGTCCTCTCTCCACCCCTGATGACTCAGTTTCCCCTGGCCTCCTGATCAGCAGGCAACAGTCCCCTGGACAGTCCCCGGAACTTCTCAGCTGTGTCAGCTGTCAACTTCCCCTTCGCCCGGAGGTGAGTGGTCCCTGGCTTTGGGGGATGGTGTCCTCGTGACTGCTGAGGGGACAGGCAGGGTGTGTTCGCTTGATGGACCTGCCTCCTCACTGGCCTTTTCCCCTCCCCGGCCCTGCCCTGTGTTGGTCCCTCCCTCTGGTTTCTGCCCCTGCCTCGGTCTTCTGCAGCCACATCTCTCGAACGGACAGGTAATGTCAACAAGCTCTAGGGGTGGGGGTGAGAGGGGACGCCACCGGGTCTAAGAAATATTAATTCACTGAAAGCAATTTACGCATTTAATAGGAGTTTAACAAGAGTTCATGTGCCAGGCATTTATTTTATTTTTTAACTTACTGATTGATTTCAGGGGGGTGGGGGAGAGAAACATCAACTTGTTGTTCCACTTATTTATGCATTCATTGGTTGCTTCTTGTATGTGCGCCCTGATTAGGGATTGAACCCGCAATCTTGGCGATTGGTACGACGCTCTAACAAACCGAGCTACCCCAGCCAGGGCATGTGTGCCAGGCTTTTCACTTATTCATTCAACGTTTATTGAGTGCCTGCTGGGAGGCTGAGGAATGGGGGGCTGGCCTTTGGCCTCTGGGGAGTCCTCAGTCTGGTGGAGGCAGCCAGCATGTACCCCAGCAGGTGCAACTCCGAGGGGTGGCAGCTTTGTGGGGGGAGGGGGTGGGCACTGGCTGCTGGAGTCAGGGAGGACTTCTGGAGGAGAGGAGAGGTCTAAAGGACGAGGAAGAAGCATAGTGGACTTGCCCACCCTGACGTGCTGTTCTCGGCCTTATAGAGTCCTTCCTCCAGTGGGGCCAGAATCTGGCAGCCACAAACCACAGGGGCCCTGTCTTCCTTCCAATTCTGGTTCTCCTTTCCAGGGCTGATGGCAGAAGATGGTCCCTCGCATCCCTCCCGTCCTCTGGCTATGGAACCAACACGCCCAGCTCCACCGTCTCGGTACCTACAGTCCCACCTTGGCGGGCAGACAGGCGGGTGCAGGGTTGGGGGGACATGTCTTTGTCTTTTTCAAGGGGTCAGATAGCTGTGCAGTCAGCAGATTCCTGGCCGCTGCCTCTGTGCTGTGTTCTAGGCGATGTGGGGGACCCTAGAGAACCCAGACTTAGCCCCAGGAGCTCTCCTAGGGTACACAGGTTATCACAGGGCCTGGCCAGAGGGGATCTTGGCGCTGCCATGGGGAACAGGCAGAGAGGACTTCTTGGAGGAGTGGGCATGAAGGCTGGGGTATTAAGGGATAGGAGCCAGGCATTCTGGGCC